GAAAAAACAAATAGAAAAACAACAAACCGAGTGCAGTAGGACTCACCTTAAATTAGGTTTTGATGTTATTCTATTTGTTTTTTCGTAGGATTAACTTCTCTAATGCTTTTCGGTGATATGTTCGATTGAATAAATGTCCTAACCTTCTAAAAAATTATTCTTATGAAACAAAAATATCATTTCAATTTCTAAATTATGCCCAACCGCAAGATAGAATGGAATAACCATTTGGTCTCTCAATATTTGGTGCTCCGTACTATCTGTCCATTGACTTTCGATAAGAACTTTTCCAAATTTGATTCATTCAATTTTCAACTCTAAATGACTTGATATCTACCATGTTAGTCTGTAGAAATAATTAGCCATTATTTTAATAGAGAGTTGTCATTTTCAAGGACATGGTTAACTAAAGGGGCTTACCTATTTAGGGATACCAAACCTCAAATTAAAAAAAAAAAATCTCTTGTCCATATAGATTAGGGGAAAAACTTTTGTTTCGTAGCCCCACAAAGTAGTGAAACAATCATTTTGGGATTGGATCCTTTGCATGGTAAAATTTCTATGCCTTAGGGTGATATACTATTCCTTGATGTTGTATTCGATCACAAGTCATAAATTTTAAATTTTTGTGTGGTCCCCCATAATACAAATAAGAACTATGTTAAATTGGGCCAATTTTCTAAAACACTCTATCTGATTCTCCAGATTGATTCCTTTGATCATAGGTATTTTTTTCAATATTTAAGTGTCCTAATTGCTCAGAATTGAATGATCTTGGGCTCTTTAATTTCTTTCGTTGAGATGCTCTATTTGAATATAAGCATACCAAATTTTGAGGTATTTGACCTTTCAATTGATGAACCAAAGCCTTTGACAAGAATTCAAATTTTTTAATTTGGGATTTTCTAGAATCGAATTTGATCACACTCGACACATTATTGAGATGCTCTATTTGAATATAGGCATACCAAATTTTGAGGTATTTGGCCTTTCAATTGATGAACCAAAGCCTTTGACAACAATTCAAATTTTTTAATTTGGGCTTTTCTAGAATCGAATTTGATCACACTCGACACATTAGGTTTGTCTTATTGAGATGCTCAGTTTGTAAACTTGTTGAAATTAGTCAGATGATTGTGAATTTGAATTCAGAATATTTCTTGTGCAATGTATTTGAGAAATGTGCTTGATGATAAAAATTTATTGATGACACATCCCAAAAAATTCATATTTTTGATAAAACAATTTTGGTGCAATACGACATTATTATTATTTATTTGGCTCACATGTTTTATGCCTATAATAGTGGACTTGAGACATTCGAAGTTAGATTTTTAGTGTGGTTAATATCTTCAACCACTACTACATCATCGTCCAACCGTTGTTGCATCCAGACCATCATTGTCAAGAAGACGTGGCTAAACCACACTTATTATCATTGGATAACCATTGCCCTATTAATGTAATAGTTGTCACAACCATCAAGAGATCATTATCACTATCACTAGATCACAACCTCTTGGCCCATGTTGATATCGAACCACTACAACTTATCCATTGTCATACCATAGGCACAAGCCCGATGTGTGTTTTCATATGCATATTTTTCCCCTCATACTTTTGGTTGCTACTTGAATTTAATTAAGTTGTTTAGCTATTATATGCATGCCAATACAATACTATTGGTTATGAATGCAAAATTTCTTTAAATTATGAGTTTAGGTTATGTTGGATTTTCAAAAAATGTATATTAAATTGAGGTTGGGTAGAAATCTCAGTTGTTTAGCTATTAAAATGTATATTAAATTGAGGTTGGGTAGAAATCTCTCAATCACATGAGCTTAACAAAATCTAGACTTAACTATGGTCTTAGCAAGGAAGGGCATCTCACTTAGCGGATTGAGAAACACCACCCTAGATGACTAAGGGTTATTTAGTTACATCTTCTAATTATGATTTGCTTTGTTGACCTTCAGTTTGACTTTGACTTTGAGTTTGACGTAATTAAGTTTGAGTGAGTTAAGATTATTGAATTAGCAACTTGATATCCCAAAGGTGTGACATGAGAATCCAAGTCAATGGGAGTTAAATTTGAGTTCAAGGTTTTCAACTTCATGACTTGCTTTAGAATTTGAACTCCCCAAAAACCTATTACAGAAGCTTAGAATTAATTTTGGGAACTCAAGAATGTTTGGAGGATTACCCTACAATTCCTTAGAAAGTAATATTAAGTATTGTTAATATTTAATTAATTCACTTAAAAATATCTAAAATATATCTTAATTCTTCATTAAATTTTCTTCTAATACCATTTGGAGTCAATAAATCAATTTAAAAGGACTTTATGCTTTTTCTGAATTGTTTTCATTTTTATTGATTATTAATTAGTTAACAAATTTAATTACTTAATATTTAATAATTCTAAGATTTTGTTTGGTTAAGAATTTTTTCATAAACTTATGGTAAAAATTTCATAAATTTTGGAATTATATTAATTAAATTATGATTTATATATTATTTATTCAATTTTTTAAACATAAAATTTAGAAAATATTTTATTTAATAAATTATTTCTACTTTATTTTTATAATTGTTTTCTTAGCTTATGCTATTCTTGGTTAAAATTTTCATTAAATTTAGTAAAGTAGTTAAATTCTTATAGATTTTTGAAATTCAACTTATTTAAGGGGCAATTTAATTAAATCTAAATTTCTATATTTTAATATTCCATTAATACCTTCGGTAAGTTTTATTTAAAAACTCGAAATTTTATGAAAAATTACTTGCGAGTGATGTATCACTAGAGTTATCAGAAAATTTTAGAATTAAAAGATTATTAGTGCTTAGTTTTTGTGTATTTATATTTAGCTAGGTGAGGCCTTCAAGTTCCTCATATTCATAGAGGCATCCATTCATACTAATACATGAGCAATTCTAGCATCCTAAATGCGAGTAATAATTTAGAGGGGCTTATTATTTTTAGTAATCTTTAGGCGAATGTATTCATTTAAAAATACATTTGTAGGAATTTTTATAAGTAATTGTCCTCTCCTAGACTTCTCTTAACAAGTAATACCAAGAACACTTTAGGATAATAAATGCTTTAATAATCATTTCTCACACTTGAAAGAATATTAGGAGAGCATCATCTTACATGCTTTAGCTAATATCATAATCAATTTTATGTAGTGCATACCTTAGGCCTTGTCTTTTGGTTGGGCAAGTTATGTTAATGGAAGGATTTTCCTAGTTTTATGTCTTTATTATTATTATTGTTCTTTCATTTGGTTAGCAAGGCAACACGACTCCATGAATTTGAAGTTAAACATCAATTACCCTATTTAACAAGGCATATTTGATACTTTCTTTCACGACCTAGCAATTGATTCTCTTCTAACAAGAATTCCTTTAAAGCATTAAATTCAACACTCTCCATCAGCAATGTCTAAATTATCATTAGATATGGTATGTACGCCATCTTGAAAATAAAAAAAAATTAGAAGTCCTATTACATACGTAATAGACATGAACATTAGAACAAATAGACATAACAACAATCGAATCAATCTTCTTTATTGATAGCTAAAATTATAGGCATAAAAAGCAGGCATCTCTCCATCATGATTTGTAACTCCTTTTTATCATTTTTTATTTCAGTCTCAAACATCCTTTTGACATTCAAAATATTTAGGCCATTTGCCTTTCATTAAAGTCAAAAGGGTAATATTTAAAATTCTCATATATGCCTCTTGTTTAGGTTTAGATGGTTTGGTCACATTAAACGTCGATCATCTGATGATCTGATTAGAAGAGTAGATGTTTTAGAATCAACTTATGTTAAGAGAGGCAGAGGTAGACCTAGGAAGACTTGGGCCTATTGTATATAAAATAATCTTAATTTATTAGAATTAAATGAAAATATGAAACTAAATAGGAGGTAATGGAGAAAAAGGATTCATGTAGCGGACTTCATTTAGTGGGATAAAGGTTTTGTTGTTGTTATTGTTGCTGCTGGTTGCTCAGGCTCATTGAGTTTATCCTTTACATTAAATAATTGTTTAACTTCCTTTCAATTTTGTGAGAGGACAATGTGCACCTTTTCACCATAACATGAAGGCAAGTGCTTTCCAAATATAAGGGTAGGATACATGTCATTACAAGAGGTGCAATAGCTTTGGTTGACTCTGCACTTAAAGAAGTTATTAGGTAAGGCTGAAGAAGCTTTGATTCTCCAAATTAAGGTGATCTGTGATACCAAAATTACTACAAGTAGAATATCTGCAATATCAATCTCTAATATTAATTTTGGATGGGTAAGGTGGGATAGCAAATGTGAGGGATTGTCCAAGATATTAAAATTTTCACTTCAAATAAAATTTATAATATGGAAACCTTTGGGATAGTTCAGGATGGCAGAATCCCTAAACAAAATTTGATACCTTAAAACATCTAAGGAGGTCAAGAAACAAGAATAACAATATAATACAAATTTAGGATATCAAAATCTCGGAGATCGTAATAAAAGATTATATTTCCATGGACAAAATATAGAACAATCTTAAAATATCTTTAATAAATTATAAATGATACAGTAAAAAGAATAATCAGCCAGAATTGCCAATTAAAAACAAAAAAGGGGGTGATTGCATGAATACCGCTCAATTTCTATGTATTTACATATCTAACACCTAAACTTTATTTATTTATTTTTTTTACAATTAAAAATCCTTCAAACCACATAAAAAATATCACTATTTTAATTTCTAAAAAGTGAAATATACATTTCATGCATAGGTAAGGTCGCATTATGTAGAAGTTGAAGTTTAGGTGTTAGATATGAAAATGCATAAGAATTGAGTGGTACGTATGCAAATCTTCATAAAAATAAACCCTCCGCAAAGAACCTAAGTTCTCATCACTCTTCACAACAGTAACTGTGATATTATCAGAAGATTCTTTTCAAAGCTAAAAAAAAAGATACTGATGAACCAAATGTCACATCTTTTAAGAAATTTGATACAAATTTTGGTAACATGTACTGTGTCTGTAAGGGTAAAGAATCATGCGCGCTGCACAAAAACTGATCTAAGTGATTGTTGATATAACAGACATTCCTACTCTGAAATTTATAACCCAGTTCTAAAACAATTTAAGGGTAAACAAATCAATATATGCAATCAAATCTTCTACAGGGTGACAATTCATAAAAAATCTCCCGTTGGGGTGCGCAAATACCTTGTGTTGAGACTCTCAGTTAGTGGAATTCAAGGATTTGATCGTTCTCCTACGCCATGTTGCGGTTTCTGGATCAAATTTAAGTTCCCAAGTTGGCCAATAGTGAAGATCTTGCTTCAGAGTCAGAACTCGTGGTTTCCCATTTAAGTGAACCGTCTTCACACGCACAAACTCACCATGCTCCAGTCCCTGGAATAAATTACAAAACCAAAATGTCCTCAGAAAATTGGAAAGCTTTATGAAATGGAAACTAAGTGAAAGGTAAAGCAGAGTAATTAAAAAAGTATCAAAATAGTTCCCTGATTCTTTGCAGAGGATCATTTTAGTCCCAACATCTATAAAGATGCCTATTTAACCACCATATTTCTTAAATATGGGCTGAAATAATCACCACAGGATTTAAGAGTATGGATTAATTTGACATTTCAATAGACTTTGTTATTAAAATGACCCAATATAAATAATCAGGGGATTATACGGGATTAAAATGACGTAATTTTACTTTCGAACTATGATATTTTATTTACTAAAACCCTACAGCATTTGGCCTTTAACCTTATGATTCCTGCAAATAAAAATAAACCTAAACTAGCCATATTTAACCACCCCCACCCATCTTCAGAATCCAAAGAGCTTCCTGTGATAGATGAATAGAATTCCTTTTGATAACTTTATCTCATATTCTCTCGTCCTAGAGGAATACTTAATGGCATCCAGTAGGGTGCATATTTACTAAATAATTTCCTAGCGCTTTTAATGGTTGTAATTAGACGTTCGACTTTGCTGTAATCCTCATTTTATTACAGTTGTTTTTCACGCTGCCTGCAGATTGCACGATCTCTTGTCGTGCATGCCAATTTCTTAGTCCAACACCACCATTTACAGTAGTTGAGGATTACGAAAGGTGGTGAAATAGCATCCATGGAAGTAAGCATAATGGCTATCGTGTCTACATCAGTTCTACAAAATGCAAGCTCTCATTTTCTACAAATCACGTTGACATAAATATGAAAAAATAAAAACTGAAGGTATATACAGCATTTTCCAAAAAAAATATGAAGCATCAGCTCAACAAAAGTGTTCTGCGTAAGATCGATTAGATAAGTTTGCAGAATATATGCGTAAGTTCCTTCTCGAGCATGTTTGGCATCGTACCAATGAATTTGAAATAGCTGCAATCTGCTAGAATCGATCTCAATGTCTTTAGTAAACAGAGCATAACCCATAGTTAATGTTACATCATGTATTTAATCAACATAAATGATTAAATATATGTTTATCTTCTTACAAGAGATTTGCCAATATTTGAGTGCTTTTATGTAAGAACATGAAGCCGTACCTCATTATTCTAATAAAAGCTACTTAAAATATTATTCCTCAACGAATTAGGCTAGGTTTGAACAGAATAAAAGAATCATAAAAACTAAGATGGTTGATCGTGGTCACAGAAAATGGGTTTCAAAGCTACGAATGCAAACCGAGTGGGAGAAAAAGTAATGCAGAACATATTCTTATACTCCTAAATTTAATCTTGATCGCTTTGAACAAATAAGCCACGTCAAATAATTAGAATTTATCGCACTTGTTTTTCAGACTCATTCTGATTTTGAATTAAAAGAAAAAAAAAAAAACAGATGACACCAAATGAAGCATATGGTAGGAATTTTCTAGTGACATGGGAGTTTTCCTCCAAAAGCTGAACCAGTTTGGCCCAAACCGGTTCAGTTGAGAGGGGGGCTGAACCTACCCGCTCCTTCCACTTTTCATTTGGTGGGAAAATGACCCCTTTTCTGTTTTTTTTTCCCGCTTATCTATTTTTTATTTATATGTGTGTTTTCCGTCTAGGTTTTCAGTTTTTTATGTTATTTCTGATTTCAGAACTGTGAGAATAGCAGCCGATGTCCTAGTTTCCTCTCGAGGGCTGTATCCGATGGTTAGGGCCGCCAAACTCTGCTGTCCAGAAATCCAGCCAACCACCAACATCCCCACGGCTGCTAGATCTTGCTGTTCTGCATTCCAGCCTCCCTCCATGCCTCCAATCCGTATGTCCCATCCCTGCCCCCAGTCAAAGAACCTCCCTGCTGCTTCATGGCGTAACCCATGCCTGCACATCCGGCTCTTGTACTACTAAGCCACTCCCATCCCGAAATTCCCATCTACAGCTACCAACTAAGCTCCTCTCTATTCCCGTACCGAACCCCTTGCCCGCCCCCACAGGCACCGTTCTTCCCACAGGCACCGTAACTCCCGCTACCATTCTTCCCTACTCCCTTGCCTTCTTCCCGCCGCCCTCCCGACCTTCCCGATACCGCAAATCCCTCTAGACCCATTCCAATCCTGCCGTAATCCCTCCCAGGCATTCCCCAACCTGCTCCAACCCTGTCCAACTCTACGTTGCAACAGCTCGTCCCAACCCCTCCAACGGCTGCCGAGCTCCTCCAACCGATCCAGCAGCTGGCGATACCCTTCGAACCCACCATACTGCTGCATACTGCTGCCGCAACCCACATCCAGCCATTCTCCCCTTGCTGTCCAGCCGTACCCTGACCCCTCTACTGCAAGTGCTGTTCAGCCCCTCCATAACCTTTGCTTCCCCTCAAACCTCAGCATCACCTGGCTGTCCTACGCCAATGTCTTGTGGGTGTTGTTGATTTTACTATTTCAAGAGCCTTTGCTTGTAGTCATATTAAATTTTAGCAATAATATTTTTCAGAGTGATTTGGGTTCCCTTGGATATCATTTAATATTTTATTATTTATTATTGCTTAATAAAAATAAGAAAAATTCGTTTAAGATTAAGGTTATGTGTAAGATTATTATTGAGTCTCAAGATTTGTGAGAGATTTCCTACCTCTTGAATTTTAGGAAATCGGAGAGATCGTCAATCCTTGAATTGTAGGTATTTATGCTTTATTTTAAAAGTTCATAATTGTATTGTTTGTTTTAGATAAATAAAATATTTATTTTGCCTTAATTTCTAGGAAGAATTCTACCAAATTGGTATTAAAACGAAAAAAAAAAAACACCAAAACAAAATTGGATCAAGATTCTGTGAAGAAACCAGTGGATCGCTGCGTGCCTAGTCGGACAGGAAATGATTCAACCGGACTGGTTGGATCATGTGTGATCCTGGAGTATTGGAGAGCCAACAACAGGACTGGCATGATCGCAAGGATCACGGTACCTCCTCAGCTAAACGAGAAAATATTGCGTTGGACTCCAGACACAATATTTTTTCCAGCTATATAGTCAAGATTTGGAGCTAACAACATTAGGATCGAACGCACTAGCACGATTCGGGTACTGTAGTAAGGTTTGCATGAACATTCTTATGATACAGTCGTGATCGTTGGAAGCAAACAATCAAATCGCAACTAACATGATCAAACACCATCGATATAGTCTCAATTTGAAGTTACGATGCGATTTAATTTCTTTGTGACGCAATTCGAGCTGATTTTTCTACAAATTGGGTGGGAAGATTGCGGCTTGTCATAATCATAGAAAAGCCATGATTACAACCACTAGACTGTGATTGAACCAATAAAAACAATCTCTATTCAAATCAACTATGAGACCTCGACTTACAAGCTTCAAAAGAAAATAAATAATGGTGTCAAAAAAAAAAAAGATTTGGAGAAGAAATTGGTGAAAGAGATGAGTCAAATTAGATATGGGATGGAGTAAAGGTTCCCCACCATAGAAGAAAGTTTTTTCTCTATAGGCGATAGATTTTCTTCCATGAAAAACTGAATTGAGCCACTTCGAGTGCTTGGAGAAGATGAGAGGAAACCTTTCGAGATGCAATCCAACACCCTGCTTGCAGTTCAGTTTGCCAAACCTAACCAAGGGTTGATCGAAGAATCTTTGGTTAATTGAAAGAGAAAAAGATCGACAGAGAGGAACGTGAGGAAAGCATCCCACATCAAAAAACTTCTCCCAAGGCTTCGATTGGGGATGGATTAGAGATTTATGATGAAGACGGTTGAGCCAAAACATGGAGAAGAGATTATGCAATGGGTGTGAAGATGCATGAAGAAGGAAAGAGAGAAGCATTGATGAGATATGGATAAGATTAAAGGAGGAAGTTTTACCCTCAATATATGATGGGAAACAACTGAGGGAGAAGAATTTGTGATGGAGTTGCTAGATTTAGGAAGTTAAAGGTGCTGATCTTCGAGGGGGAAGACGCACATGGGTGAGTATACTAGGGGAATAAATATTTCACAGTAAATTGGCTAAATATGGGAAGAGAGCACATGATGGCGGGATTATGTTTGGAGGGAAAAGCCCTATCATTGTTTAAGTTGAGGGAGGCTAGATACCCAATCCGTTTGTAGGAAGAATTAATGATTTTTTATTGGAACGCTTCCGAGTCATTCAAGAATGAGCCCTACATGAGCAATTATTTGCATTAACTCGGGAAGGGACTATCATGGAGTATATGGAGAGATTCAAGTTTTTGTCGACACAACTGAAAAGACTTTTTGAAACAGTATTACAGAACTTTATGAAGGTTCTAAAGCCCGACATACGTGCAACACATCGGCCGCTGAGAACGAGAGGCTTGGGAAGATCGAAAGAGGTATATAGGGTGAGAAACTTTTTTGGTGGAGGTAGGGGTGGGTAGTGGTGGATACTAGGAACCCTAAAATACTACTAAGGTGAGGCTAGCTCAAATATCAAATGATACTTGAGTTAATCACAAATAACAATAAGAAAACAAATATAATTACTAAAAAAGCCAATAAACAGTTATAACCAACACACTTGAACAATAACACGACAAATGACACGACTAGAGTGAATTTTGGTTGGTGGTGATGGTCGTTAGGGGACCTCGGAAAGGTGACAATAATAATCACCAACTAAAGGCCAAGATATAGTCGAAGAACCACTTGAAACCGTGGGATACAACCATCAAAGGAAAGAAGAGACGCCGACAATTTTCTCGATACAAAACATAAAAACTGCCAACCGAGAACACATGAAAGAAATATATAAACCATAGATAATTTAGGATTGGGCCCATAAGTGAAAGGAGGCACCAAATCCAAAGGAAGGAGCCGATCGGCTCTCCCTCTTGCTTAGACTAGTCGATCCAGGCTCTGGACGCAAGGGTTAGACATCGCGCTTGTGTGCTTCCTGTGTCAGAAAAGACGCTTCCACATTAGTCTCCAGTGATTTGA